TATCCCAAGTGGTTGACGTTAAATTCTATACATTTAGAACTTTTGAAAGCAAGAGTATAAATATATTTGGCATATAGAATTTGACTTTACACTGATAACTTTGGATAAATTTTAGCCCAAAGATAAAAATTCAAAATGACTCCATCAAAATGGTTTAAAGAACAAGCAAACTTTTAACATTAACTAACAGCCACATTCAGGCAATTGTGAGAACTGTTGGATGTAATCTTCCCTGAGGCACTGTGGCCAATATTTTAAAAATCCTACATTCAGAAGACTCCTAAAACATTTTTTAAAAGAACTTCATATGGGGGGGGGCCAAGATGGCTGCATGAAAGCAGTGAGCTGCTTGAGCTCTCCCCCAAACCCCTCCAAATACCCATAAAAAATGGCTCTAAACAAATTCTAAAGCAGCAGAACCCACAAAAAGACAGAGTAAAACAAATTTCCAGCCCAAGATGGCCTGGATGGAAGGCATATTGTGCTGGGCAGGGAGAGGAGTGCAGTTTGGCATGGGCGTACTGGCCACAGCAAACCTGGAGCAGGCCTCAGAGGACTGAATCACAGGCAGCTGTGGCAGTTTCCAGACTCCTCAATCCACAAATGCCAAAGACAACTTAGAAGGTCAGTGGGAAAAGTCTGTTTCTGCGGTGCTGAGAGAGGAGCTAGGTCAGAGGCAACTTCAGAGCGCAGAGCGTGGAATGTGGGCACCCGGGCAGTGGCTATGTTCTCAGCTTTGGGCCCACAGACTGAGGAGGAATCAAGTGGCTGATCAGAGAGGGACCGCAAGACTCTTTGCTGGTGCTGAGGCAGGAATCTCTTGCTTTGCCCATGCTTGGATCTAGGTCACAGTTCTGGGTAGCGGTCCTGGGGTGAGAAGGAGCGCTGGCAGTGGAACTTGTAGTGATGCTGTGGAGAGGAAAGCCTCCTCACAGTTCCAAGAGAGAAAAGACTGCTTGTGGCTGGTCACTCAAAGACCAGAGCACTGGCCAGGAAAAGAGTAAACACTTCGACCCTTATCCTACCACCTTGGAAGAACTGAAAATTTACAGGTCCCTAGAAGTATCTCTGAAAACAGCTATACAAACCCCCCAAAGCTTGGGACAGTATATTCTCCACATTGGAAGCAGACTCTTACCTTAAAAAAGAGCTTAAAACTCAAGTAGTTGCTGGGATCATGAGCAAACCTCACAAAAAGAGTCAGACTATATTATCTTACTTTGGTGACAAAGAAGGTCAAAACATACAACCAGAAGAAGACAACAAAGTCAAAGCTCCCACATCCAAAGCCTCCAAGAAAAATATGAATCAGTCCAGGCCTTGGAAGAGCTCAAAAGGGATTTTGAGAAGCAAGTAAGAGAAGTAGAGGAAAAACTGGGAAGAGAAATGAAGTGATGCAAGAAAATCATGAAAAACAAGTCAACAGCTTGCTAAAGGAGACCCCCAAAAAAATACTGAAGAAAATAACACCTTAAAAAATAGCCTAACCCAAATGTCAAAAGAGGTCCAAAAAGCCAATGAGGAGAAGAATGCCCTAAAAAGAAAATTGGCCAAATGGAAAAGGAAGTCCAAAAGATTACTGAAGAAAATACTTCCTTAAAAATTAGAATAGAGCAATTGGAAGATAGTGACTTTATGAGAAATCAAGACACAGTAAACAAATCCAAAAGAATGAAAAATTAGAAAACAATGTGAAATATCTCATTGGAAAAACAACTGACCTGGAAAATAGATCCAGGAGAGAGAATTTAAAAATTATTGGACTATCTGAAAGCCATGATCAAAAAAAGAGCCTAGACATCATCTTTCAAGAAATTATCAAGGAAAACTGCCCTGATATTAGAACCAGAGGGCAAAATAGAAATTGAAAGAATCCACAGATCTCCTCCTGAAAGAGATCCCCAAAGGAAAACTCCTAGGAATATTGTAGCCAAATTCCAGAGTTCCCAGGTCAAGGAGAAAATATTGCAAGCAGCCAGAAAGAAACAATTCAAGTACTGTGGAAACACAATCAGGATAACACAAGATTTAGCAGCTTCTACATTAAGGACTGGAGGGCACGGAATATAATATTCTGGAGGGCAAAGGAGATAGGATTACAACCAAGAATCACCTACCCAGCAAAACTGAGTATAATCCTTCAGGGGAAAAAGGTCATTCAGTGAAATAGAGGACTTTCAAGCATTCTTGATGAAAAGACCAGAGCTGAATAGAAAATTTGACTTTCAAATACAAGACTCAAGTGGAACATGAAGAGGTAAACAGGAAAGAGAAATCATAAGAGACTTATTAAGGCTGAACTGTTTACATTCCTGCATGGAAAGATGATATTTATAACTCATGAGACCTTTGTCAGTATTAGGGTAGTGGGAAGGGAAAAAATTATATGTATGTATAGATAGATAGATAGATAGATAGATAGATAGATAGAGGGCACAGGGTGAGTTGAAGATGAAGGGGTGATATCTGGAGAATAAAATTAAGGGATGAGAGAGGATTATACTAGGAGAAGGAGAAAGGGAGAGGTAGAATGGGGTACATTATCTCACACAAAACAGACAAGAAAAGGTTCTTACAGTGGAGGGGAAACAGGGGAAGGTGAGAGGAAATGAGGGAATCTTATTCTCATAGGATTTGGCTTAAGGAGGGTATAACATACACACTAAGTTGGGTATGGAAATCTGTCTTACCCTACAGGAAAATAGGGGAGGAAGGGAACAAGAGAGCAGGGGGATGATAGAGAGAAGGGCAGATTAGGAAAGGGGTAATCAGAAGGAAGCATTTCTGAGGAGGGACAGGGTCAAAAGAAAGAATAGAATAAATGGGGGGCAGGATAGGATTAAGGGAAATAGAGTTAGTTTTTCACAACATGTCTACTATGGAAGTGTTTTGCATAACTGCACATGTATGGCCTGTATTGAGTTGCTTGCCTTTTCAATGAGGGTGGGTGGGGTGGGAGGAAGGGAGAAAATTTGGAGCCCAAAGTTTTAAAAACACGTGTTTTAAAAAAAAGTGTTTCCACATGCAGTTGGGAAATAAGAAATACAGGATGGGGCAGCTAGATGGTGCAGTGGATAGAGCACTAGCCCTGGATTCAGGAAGACCTGAGTTCAAATCCAGCCTCAGACACGTAACACATACTAGCTGTGTGACCCTGGGCAAGTCACTTAATCCCATTGCCTAGACAAAAGAAAAAAAAACCCAAAAAAAGAAATAAAAATTTTAAAAATTTTTAAAAATGAAATAAGAAATACAGGAAATGAGGTACAGAAATATATCGTCCCCTACAGGAAAATAGAAGGGAAGGGGATAAGAGAAGGGGGGGAGAGATAGAAAGGAGGGCAGACTAGGGGAAGGAGTATTCTGAATGCATGCCACCCTGGGGTCAGGGGAGGGGCAAGATGGGTGAAAATTTGGAATTCAAAATCTTGTGGAAGTAAATGTTGAAAACTAAAAGCAAATAAATTTATATAAAAAAAGGAAAAAAAGAAAAAAGAAGTTCATATGCATGGAAGGAGACTTTTAAAGAAGCCATACTCCTTGTTTTCCTATCTTTGGGCCTTAGGTTCACATTGTTCCCTCTTTCCAGAATGGCATTCATTCCTCAGCTCTGCCTTTTCCATTCCCAATCCTTGTTCAACTCGATCAACAGATCAAATGACATCATTTCACAAATCTCCTCAGGCCATGTGTGTTCTTTGTCCTTCTCTGAATTCCCAAAACACTTTGTACATATTGCTTTTATTGGAATAATTCGATTGGTGATGATGAGAATGTAAACGTTTAAGAAAGATAATGAACAAAGTGGGAAATCAAGACTCGACTATGGTTTACCACAGGCATTGGTCATACAGTTTATTTTACTCTTCACAGGTTCTTGAACTAAGTGAATGTTTCTGAAATGAGTTAAACCAATTTCCACCAAGCAGAAATGTATGCTAGGGCCCAAAGCTCTAAATAACCAGTTTCTCAGTGTTGATTTGTCTTTTTAATCTATCAAATTAATATTCCTCTCTAGTCCTACTAGAGAATGAGCATCTATTAAGTATTTATCATTACATAATATTCTCAATTAAAAAATAAAAAAGATCATAAAAGAAGCATGGATAGGCCTAGAAGGCAAAATAAAGCTTGTCTTACAACTCAGGTCCTTTATTCATTTCATACACCTAGACTACCTTCATTATCATAAAGCTTAACAACAAAAAATAATAAATAAAGGTCTTTTGCCATGCCATGACAAGTCTCCCTTCAGAAAACCATCAGACCTTCAATTTGGAGATGAAATTTGTAAGAATAAGAGTATAACATTTTCTTGACATTCGAGGACACTGGAGAATTAGCTTGGTAGAAGCAAACTCAAATTTTAAAAATGACTTCATTTCAATTTCTTATGATTTCAATCACTTCTTCACTTGATTGCTACTTCCACCTATCTATTCTACAGTGACAAATTCAGATCTCAATATTGAGGATGGCCAGGCTAAAACTTCGATAGAGAGGCAGGAAACAAATAGGCATGCATTATAGGCCAAAGATTTTTCTTCACAGATAAGTGTTACTCTTTATCAGAAAAGTTCTAAGAACTTTTAAGGCTCTCAACTCCCCATTTTTCTTCATTAATGATATCTTGCTTCCTAATATGACCAACAAGACGTCTCTGGAATCCTCTAGAAAACATCAAATTTACAAGTAAAATGTAGCTGAAAAAGTAATCATCCAAAAAAATACTATCTGTGAAAAGTACAGGTAAAGGCAGTAGTTAGAGGATGTGCAGAAGTGCACCCACACAGTCATTTATTAGCATTTTTAAAAAACTAACACCACTAAAAACTTAATGAACAAGTTTACCCTCTTTTCCTACTTGAAAATACGTATGTCTAAATACATATGGAAGGAGTAAAAGGCAGAATTTGGCGGATTAACAGTTCAATACCAGAGTTGAAAGGAAAATATAGAAAATAACATAAAAAGTGCATCAAATAAAACTGATTCCTTACCACAGCGATCTCTAATGACAAGGTTCCTGCCTTCTTTCAGGTGTATGGTGAGGAGGTAAGCAAAAGGGCTGGGGAGGTTACTTAAGCAATCTCCTGCTTCTTCAAGAGTCTATAGGAAATAGAGAAACCATTTGCTTTTTTTTCCCCGATTTGTAAGCAAGAGAATACACACATGTGTTCACGCATGCATGTATGCAAACACACACACATAGACACAGACACACTGCACAAAACAAAAGCAAAAGCAAACTGTGTTTTCTTCCTTAAGGAAGGAAAAAGATAATAATTCTTCTTAAGGGTGTAATGTTGATAGGTATATTATGAGTTCTATACACATACACACTTCAGTCTTCAGACTGTATAATCCTATTCCTCATGTACCATTTACTAGGTGAAATCTTTTTTGTTCTCCATTAGTAATGAATATTATCTTTAAACTTTAGGTAGTCCTTTGTTTTGTTTCCTCTCTAGTCCTACTAGAGAATGAGCATCTATTATGTATTTATCATTACATAAGAAATGATAAATACATAATAGATGCTCATTCTCTAGTAGGATTGTACCCCCATTAGATTGTCAGATCCTACAAAGCAGTGCCTTCTCAGTCTCTCCCCTTATCCAAGCCCAGTACTCTGTCTGTGGTCAGCACTTAACTGTCTACTATCTTAAATCAAATACCATCCTGTAACTCAGTCATGAGATTGTCGTGCAAAATTTAACATCCTGAGAATTACAGAAATTGTTGATATCAAGTCATTGTATGTTTATTACAAAATGATTTAAAACTCTATAAATGAGGTTGGTTAGTGTTCAATATCTATACAGAGTCGAAAACAAATCCAAACCTAACTTTGCTTTCAAGTAAATATTTCCTTAGAATTATTTACTTAAGTGCTAGAGAACTTAAAAATAAAATAACCACAAACTCACAGATTGCTCTTCAAAAAGCTGGGAGGTCATTGAAGTATCCAAATAACTAGATCCACCTGGATTCTGCTATTTAAAAAAAAAAAAATTTTTTTAAAACCCTGATAATAAATCAAAGAACCAAGCAGACTAATAACATAGAAAGATGTCTGAAAGTGCTTCATCACCTTTGAACATTTGACAGGCTAAAAGCTTATGCCTGGATCAGAAGATTCTGAAGACAGCTCTCCACCAGGGCTCTCACTTTGCAAATGTGTCATTTACACATTTTACGTCAGCCGAATCTAGGAAATACTTAGCATTTTAACTCTTGTGTGGTAAAACTGTGGTATGATGTGGGTGACCAGTTCACAGAACAATTTGGGCAGAACATTGTACTCAGGAACTGAAATATAAGTAAGGAAAATAAAATGGGAAGCTTTTCAAAATGAGGCCTGATGGCACTACTTTAAACTATACCTTTGTGGAATTTGCAATCTTGTCTCAAGCTGTTAGATTACACATTTACTAAACTGGAAAGGGAATTTTTATTAGCTCTGATTTAAAGACATATTCCAAATAAGTTGATCATTGCATGACACAGAATTGGAGAAAAGCAGTTAGAAAAGACCTTAAGTCATCTAGTCTAACCACTCCCAAAATCATAAATCCCTTCTACAATATTCTTAATCTACAGTATTCAGTCTCTACTGAAAGGGATTCAGGGACCAAAAATTCATTATTCCCCAAGCAATGCACTCCAGTTTGAGACAGCAATAATTGCCAAAGACACACACACATACACACACACACACACACACAAACACACACATATTCTTTTTCAATTTTTTTCAATTTTTTTCTATTTATTGATTCAAAATATGACTTTCTCTAACTTCCACTAAATGTTCCCAGCACCATAAGTGCCATAAATATAACCTCCTTCCACATAAAAACCCTTTGGATATTTCAAGATAGATACCATGTTCCCTTTCCCCAAATCTAAGAATAAATGAACTCTCCTGAGTTCATTCAAGTGATCCTCATGCTGAACAGCATCATGGATCTTCAGTATCCCAGTTGTACTCCTCTGGATAAACGCAGCTTATAAATATGTCAGCTCATTTCCTGATTTGAATATGCCAAGATACTCAGAAAATTATGCCACAGACTAATGAAACATGTGGTTAGCAATGCTTCCTTAAATTTTCATAGAACTTTATAGTTAAAGTGCCCTTGCACCCGCTGTCTAATTTAATTTAATCTCAGTTGTAAGGGAGCTCAGAAGTTATCTAATTCAAACTTCTATCTGATACATGAATCCAGGACAAATGACCAACTGATCAACCTTTGACTGAAAAGTTCTAATGACTCCCTGTTTTACTGGTCTAACTCATAACTCAAAACAAAATACACCTTCTTGCAGTTTTATACATTGGACCTGGTTCTGCCTCCCATAACCATATAGAGTAGATATAATACATTACAGTCATTCAAATACTTGAAGTCAGCTATTTTGGAGAGATGAGGTAGTTATTATTATTCCTGGTTAATAGATGAGGTAACAGAAGCAGAATTTTTGAGTTCCTTATCCATGGTCACACAACTAGTCAGAGTTAGAACTAGGATTCTAACCCAGGACTATTGATTACAAGTTCAATGCTTCTTTCCTTTATACCATCAATTCGAATGTAAGCTTACTGTAAGGATCATTCTTTGTGTGTGTATGTATTCCCAGCCCAGATCACAATGCTTGACACATAGCAGGGATTCGATTGATTGATTGATCTTATAGAAATTAGAAGGGCTCTTAATTTTGTCAAGACTTTCTATCAAAGTAAACATTATAGAATTAGGAGTTCTGGTTTGAGAGTTTTCTCAAAACTTTTTTTATTTTCCCAGTTGTGGAGCATCACTCATTAACCCTGCCTTGAGGCCATCTAAATACCAGTGACTTACCTCACAGACTTCTGAGAACCCTAATTCCACATTATTCACTTTTAAAATTAGAAATGTTCATTTTTTTTCTGGATTAATATTAGATTTTTAATGTTCAATGAAGTTGGGCTTCAAAATGCTAACATTCCATCCATAATTGCTGTAGTCATCACATTTAAAAGTAGTTTTAATGATGAAGGAACCGAGGCTATTTCTTACCTGGTACCAAACAGTTTGTTACTGATGTGGATTACAACCAGAAAATTCGTTTATTTTTTTTAGATTCTTTAAAGTGAATTCTTGCCTTATTTCATCAATTATTTGAGTATAGACAGACATGAGAATGTAGTAGAAAGAACACTGGATTTAAGAAGAAGATCTGTTCATTCTGCTACTAGTTGTATGATACTAGATAAATCAACTAACTTCGGTAAGCCTCAATCATCTCTTCTATGAAATGGAGATAATATTCTGACTAACTCACAGAGTTACCAATAAGTCAAATCAAGTTAAGAAGCATTTGTTAAGCACTTGTTGTGTGCTATGTATTATGCTAAATGCTGGAGATGCAAAGAAAGGCAAAAGACAATCCCTGCTTTCAAGGATCTTTTATAAAGGAAACAGTGATTATAAATTATAATATAAATGTAATTATAATACAAATTATAAAAGAAACTTACTATGATTCATCCCTTTGGCTTTCTAAGCTGGTGGTCTCATCAGCACATTTGGAAACAAAATATAAATAAATCAGAAAAATGCTTAGAACACCAGGTTCTTAGGTTGGCTTCCGGGGATATGGGATGGGAGGAGAGAAGCTTGATAACATGAACTTTGGCCTGATGCCACAGGTCATGTCTACCTCTGGCTCCATTTTGGGGTCTGTATGTTCTCATATTCAGAACTTCACAAATATGGGCACATAGAACAAACATCAGTCCAACACCATGCTAAATATGATCCATGAATTAACAACCAGATACCATTCACTTCTTCAGAATGGGAAATGGAGCCTTCACTAATAGTATTTCTTGAATTTCCATACATAGTGTTATGCTTCTTTCAATGTTAACCAGGATCTCCACTCTCAATAAAATACATCATCATCCAAATATGTCTGCAGATATACCCCCATGAAACTGATAATCAAATGACTATCTCTGACCTCTTGGAACACATAAACGAACCAGCAAACAAGTGAGAAAACCCCTGTATTCTTTAGCAATAAAGCACCAACCTCATGAAGAAGACTACATGGATCTGATCTTGCCATTGGGAAAAGCCATATAAGGAAAGCTTCACCCAAAGCCAATCAGGCCCACTCAGCATAGTTGTTGTGACTTTGATTCTTCTATACTTGTAAGATGCAATCTCCTCAATCGCATTTTAAGAGTGAGCCTAATTCTACTTTAAATTAGCTTTGCTTTAGTTTACAAAATTGTTGGTTGGTTTGGTGCTTTGTAGGTAACTAGCTTATCAGTTTACCAGCATTCACATTTATACAAAACCCCATTATCTGGGATTCTGAAAGTTCCAGGATGAGCAGTGACTTTGTTCCACTACTGTTACTGATTTCTCCTCCAGAAAGACTCAGCCAGAGAATAAAATCTGTAAAGAGATTCTTATTCTCTGGAACATTGTAAAAGCCTTTCACCAAAGGTGTCTTCCAATGTAACTCGGCAGTTGGGACAGTCTCACCGTTTTTATTTTATCTATCTATCTATCTATCTATCTATCTATCTATCTATCTATCTATCTATCTATCTATCTAGCTATCTATCTATCTATCTATCTGAACTGGGACTTGAAGGAAGCCAGGGATGTGAGGAGGCACAGATGAGAAGGTAAAGAATTCCAGGAATGGGAGACAATTAGTGAAAATACAGTTGGCAGACAGAGTATCTTGTGTGATGAACAGCAAGGAGGCCCATGTCACTGGATTACAAAGTATATGGTGGGTAATAAGACATGAGAAGACTGGAAAGGTAGGAGGCAGCAAAGATATAAAGGTATGAAGGGTTTTCAGTGCTAAGCAGAGGATTGGAATGAAAAAAGTTATTTAAAGCCTTTTGCAATCTGGCTCCAACTTATCTTTACAGACATATTATCCCCAGTTCACAAACATGTCCCACAAAATTAGCTTACTGGCTGCTTGTTCCTCATATATAACATTTCATTTTCCTTCTCTTTGCCTTGCATTGGCTTTCTCCCAAACCCAAATACAATCCCTCTTCACTCCCCTTTCTTAGAATTCCATGCTTCTTTCAAAGCTCAACTCAAGCATAAAGTACATGAGGCCTTTCCTGATCCTGCCCTTCCCTAGCTACTGATTTGCCTTATCTTAACTTTGTATGCCTTTTATACCCACTTATGAGGATACTTGGTATTTCCTTCAATACAATGTAGGTTTTGCAAGGGTAGTGACCACTTCATTTTTGTCTTTGTATCTCACAACGCCTCCCACTGACCTTAGGTTATGGTGGTATTGAGAAAAGAGTCCTTAGAACCTGTTTCTCAGTACTCTTGTATTTCTCCTTTAACGTCTCAAAAGATCAATTATTCTGCGGGTGTTGGTAACTCCTCCTACCAACAGATGACAACCCTTACAAGTTTTAACAGATGTTCTTCCCAAGTGCCAATAGCCCCCAAACCCCAACATCTGATAGCCAGCTTTCTGGAGATAACCTTTTGATGTTCTCAGATAAAAGTCAGAGAGTCTATTGTTGTCAGGCTCTTCCGTCAAAGCTTTTACTGCTTGGTAAAACCTGCCAGAAGTTAGGGTCGCCTTCTAAACAAAGGCAGGGTCTCAGAGTAGGACTTGGGTGGAGTACATACAACCATTCTATTCCAGAAAAAAAAAATAAGTTGTATATCTAAATAGCTCCTTTCACCTACCTCACTCAAATTATGGCATCCCACTGCCTCTCCAGGTTTGCTTTACACATTTCCACCACAGGATGATTCTATGCAAGTAAGGAAGTGACACCATTTAACCGCTTTATTTTATTTACATACTTCTAAATGGACAGGTACAATACTCTTCTCCTTAAAACAACAAGGGCATTACAGGCAACAAGCTCCATTAACTCACCATTATGATGGAGGTTACACTTGTAGAGAAGTCACAGAATTTAAAGTTATGGCTCCCACAG